TGATGTCCTTGCCTGGCTTTGGTGTCAAGGTAACCCTGGCCTCTTAGAGTGGGTCGGGAAGCGTGCTCTCCTCTTTCGTTTTCTGGAAGAGATTTTGAATAATTGGTGTTAATTTTTTAAATGTTTGTTAGAATTCACTAATGAAATCCCCTATGCCTATGGTTCACTTTTGTCGTTACTGTTTGTTTGTTTGCTTAGTGATTTTCTGCAGCAATTCTATCATGTCTGTCTTCAACATCATGTCTGGCCACCAGAGCCCAGGTATTTGACTGAACAGAAATTTCCAAATGCCTTGATCCTGCACTTTCGATCCTTGGCTGAGGAGCTTACAACAGGACCTCAGAGTGAGACAGAGGTGGGAGATGAGGGTCTTCTCAGACCTTTCCTGGACATGTGCATAGCCCAGCATATGCATGGGGCCTTCTAGATGCCCAGGAATATGTCAGGTCTTTTCAAAGCACCCAGTGGCATATAAGTTTGCAGCTTTTCTTTCCCTTTAAGTTATCCGACGAGCCTTGTTTTCTCCTGCTGGCGTCAGCACCTCGGGCAGTTGCAATATTAAGTCTTCGCTGCCGATTATTTCTGAAAAATGTCCTAGGCTTTGTGGACTGAGCTCTAAGACAGGTCAAATGACAGCAACCCTGCAAATGGGGCTTTTCCAAGAAGCTGTCAGACAGGCCAGGCAGGGACAGTTCTCTGGAGATGGGCCATTCTGAGGCACCCCAACCCCAGTCTTCCCCATCCCATGACAACTAGGATGCTGGTTTCCATGGCTACCACAGGTCTGGGGGCAGGCTGATGGGAATAGGGGGAGTTAAAATACCACAAAGCTCTGTTTTTACTGAGATTTGTATGTTTTTCTTAAATAAATACTCTTCATATTATTGCCACCTTGGATTAATTTCCACAGTTTGGAAAAAGTAGACTTTGACAGGTTTTGCTAGTGTTCTCATTCCTTTCGTGAAGGAGCAAATTCTCAGGGGTTACTTGGCTCTTCCAGAAGTCCCATCACCTTGTCCTAAACACCAAAAAGGTTTTAACTTTATTTTCTTCAAGCCCCTCTTAGTTGGATTTACTGCCTCTTTATCTATTTTCACAAACTGAACACACCCATGTAACTCATACCCAGAATGCTCTTCCTGTCCCTTTGCAACCGCTAACTATTCCTCTGCCAAGATAATAAACTTAAAATAATTTGAATTATTTAGTGCATACCCTCTTGTTTTCATTCAGCATTACATTTATGAGATTGACTTGTGTTGTCGAATGCAGTTGTTCATCTGTCCTCATTGCTACAGTGTTCCGTTGTGGGAATATACCACTATGTTTCCATTCTCTACAGGTGGACGGACAGTTGGATTGCTTACATTTTGAGGCTGTCACATTGAATTCTTGCACATGTATTTTTGAGATCATTGCTGTTAGATATATACCTAGAAGTGGACTACCTTGGTCATACGTTATATGAATGTTGAATGTTAGTGGACACAGTTCTTAAAGTTGATATACTACCAGTTTACATCCCACAGCAATGTATAAGCGTTCCATTTACTTAATATCCTTGCCGTGCTTGGCATGATTCAGCTTTTTCACTTAATCATCCTGATGCATGTGTAGGGGTATCACAGTGATACCACTTTAATTTGCATATAATGCATTCGGCCAATTTTCATAGATTTGTCTGCTATTTTCTTATGAATTTGTAGGCGTTTTCACATATTCCGTATACCAATATATTCCATATAGGCTTACAAATATCTTCTCCCACTCTGTAACTTGCTTTTTCTCTCTTTAAATGATGGTGTTGGATAAAGAGTTGTCCATTTTAATGTAGCTTAATTGTCCAGATATTCTCCTTTGTGTTTAGTACTTTCTGCATCCTGTTAAAAATCCTTACTGGCCAAAGAAAATTAAAGATGCAACCAACTGATTTAATTTTTTTCTGTAAAAATTTTAAACACTTATTATTTAGGCAGAACCCTAGTCTATCTTAAAGAATACCAGTATTTCCCCAAGAGTATATATTACAAATGATTGCCCTCTTTAATTCACAAAAACATCGACAAAACATCAAGCCTTATAGAACTCTTATTCCAGATCTTTTGTTCTTTCCTATCAAACCCAGCAATTCTGTTGAGTATATTTCTTATCCCATTTGTTTCTAATCACCCTGTCTTCTGTGTTCAGAAATAATAGAGCCCTTAGATGTGAAGTCCTCTAACTTTCTGCTCTCTGCTTCTCTCCACAAGATATAACCTCATCTGTATTTATTTCCTCTCGTCCTGTTTCAGTGGAAGATGTTTTGTAAAGTAGGCCCGTCCCCCTACCCCACTAGTCATTGTCATCTCTACCCTTCCTTAAAAAAGCAATGCTTTAGACATGATAAAATTGCTTAGAACTAAATATACCCACACAATGAGTACATGTAAAACTGATGAAATCTAAATAGGGTGGATGGATTGTGTCAGATTCATTTTCCTGGTTGTAATATTGTATTACAATTATACAAGATGTTGCCATGGGGAACATTGGGCAAAGGGTATACTGGGTCTCTCTATATTATTTCTTACAACTATATGTGAATCTGTCATCTCAAAATGAAAAGTTAAAAGTCTTCCTAAGAATTATGCATAATAATAACTACCATTTATTGAGTGCTTTCTGTGTGCTAGATACTGTTCTAAATACTGTCAGGGGGATACTATTGTTCACCTCATTTTATAAATGATGAAACTGAGGCACAGAGAGGTTAAGTCACTTACCCAGAGTCACGCAGCTAACAAATAGCAGAACTCGCATTAGGATCCAGGCAGCCTCACTCCAAAGAGACAGCGCTTAGCCACTCTGCCTGCCTTCTCGTACGTCTGCTTTCCTCTCCTGCCTGCGACTCACACTTCAGCCCACCCCCTGTACTTCAGCTTCCATCCAGTCACCCGCCTGAAACTGCTTTTGCCTGGGTCACCAACAAGTCTGCTGCTCAATCTAATAGATTCTGTTTGGTCCTAACCATTCCTTCTGTAGCCTTTGATATTGTTCATACATTCGAAAAGTAGTTGTAGTAGTTGTTGAGAACCTGCAGTGTGTCAGACTCTTGTGTAACTGACGCATACATGCGTCTTTACTGTTATCATTAGGGGGTCAGAAATCTTCAGTCACTAGTGACCTGCTTGCGGATGGCCACCTTATCATTTCATAATTTTGTTTTTCTGTGTCTCAAACAGATCATATTGCCATTTTGTTTGTGGTTTCACAACATAACTCAAAACACACTGCATTTAAATACCATTTTCACTTTTCTCCAGATACAAATCTGAACCTTTGTAAGCAGTTGTCTCGAATAAAAGTAAATTAAAAGAAGCAAATCCTGAAGTATACTATTCTTATTATATAAGTAGTAATAATAAATTGTGAAAATGAATTGTCTTTGACCTTTTACCTACTTTTTTTCTAAGAACAATTCGGACTAATTTTATGCCCCCTTATTTGGACACACCAGGAAGATCTCTGAAGAATATAAAGCCTCGTTCCATACATCCAAATAAAATGCCACTCCAAGGGAAACACTTGCCTTCCTGGAGCCCTGATGCTAGCTGTTTGCCAAAGCTAAGCACGTGGGCCCATGTTGAAGGAAGGGAATCATCTCGTCTCTTTCCGCATGTCCACTGTTATTTTCTGTTACTCCTCTCCCTGATTCACTAAAGAAGAAACAAAAAAATCCCTTCCTACTTCATCATGCCAAAAACCGGCTTTTGTTTTATTAGTTCTAATAGGTATGTGCTTTGCTTGATGATTAGAAGCAACTCGAGTCCTCTTGCTTCCACCCAGTGTTACTGTTTTCGTCTGATAGCTGTTTGTTTACAGCAGCAGTTAGCAATTTGCATGGACAGTGCTGTCAAAGTCGCTGCCCTCAGTGGGGCCCAAATGGCTCTTGGAAGAAAGATGACAGATTCAGCCCAGCAGCTTGCAAAACTTGAAAAGCGATTCCTTGTCAAACATGTGAAAAACAACTCTTCCCTCTCCATGACTTGAGGGAAAAAATGAGAAACTAGCTTAAGCCAGATGGCGATTCCTTGCTAGTAAAATAGGCCTGGGCTGATCAGCCCCATCCCTTTATGTTCATTTCGCAAAACCCACAAAGAACACATTTGGGGCCACTTTTCAGAGTTGGCAACAGTCTCTGCTTTTGAAGGAAATCATATGGACACAAGTAAAGCCACAATGGATGAAGGGCTCGGAATCTCCGGGGTCCAGAAACAAGATGCATAGGCCTTAAATTCCAGGTCATCAGTTAGAACCTGGCCTGGGCCCAGGGATCATCCCAATTGTAACCAGGTTTGGTTACTTGATTAAATTTGGTTCAAACAAAGTCAAATTGGGAAAAAGCTATATTTTGTTGTTGTTGTTGTTGTTGTTGACTAGGCGTCTCTTTTTTTAAAAAAGGCAAAAAAGGAAGAAGGAAGAGGAAAAAAGAGGAGGAACAGCTAGATATTTTAAAAACGCCCTTTGAGATGATAAAGTGATTCCTAAATTTCTAATTGTTCTAGGTCTAAAGGATCAATCTTTAAGTCCAATACCTTTCTCTACTATTTACCTATAAGGTATTATAGCTGCTTTTTCATATATTTAAAAATTATTTAGGCTGGATTTGAACCTGTATATATGCACATATGTTTCATAATAACTTGGCTTTTTAAAGAGGGAATAGGACTTAATGAAATCCTCTTACTGAAGATTTTGACGCAGTCTGGTCAGCTGCTTGAAAGGGATGTGGTAAAGAGGATTTAAAAGAGGATTTAAGGAATCATGTTGGTTAGTTTTAAAGATTCCTTCTTCACCTAAAATTCTGTGCATTATGAGTGAGTCCCTGTCACCTGTCCTTTTTAAAATTACCCTGGTTTGGGGTATTTTCAGCCATTTAAAGTAACACCTATCTGTTTAGTTTTGTTGTGTATGCAAGAAAACATGGACCACCTTTGTTAACCATTTTTTTATTTCTTTAGGTGGCTGAACACACACAATTAAGTTGGGTCCTCACCTGCATGGTCAGACTACCCCGGTTACAGCATTTACACCAGTGGAAGGTAAATGCCCCTAATCTGATTAACAAGCAGAAGTTCAAGGTCCATATTACAACTGTTTCCTCCCTCTCTGTTTATTGGTGTGATAGGCTCTGCGAATCCCAAGTTACCGGCTTTCCGGCTTTCTGGGTCTGCAACTCACTAGTAACCAGAAGAGCTATCTTTAAACTCTGCCTCGGGGTGTTAAATGGAAATTAAAAAGAGTTCTCTAAGATTCCTTCCAACTGAAAAACTGGGTAAAAACATCCAACTTATTACTTGATTTTATCTGTGTATGGTTGAATCAGAGTAGCTTTTGGACGGACTTGGTAATGACTTTGAAGCTACCACATTATAATTAACAGACAATCACGGCGTCTGGATTGCTGGGCTCCGAAGTTGTCCCGTCGGCACTGGAATTAACTGGCAGTGAGGCAAGAATGTTTTCATTGTGGGGAGAAGAGACAACATATTTGATTTAACATTTAAACAAGTTGAGTCCAGGCAACAGTTCAAACCCACAGAAAAATTAAGGCTGGACTTTTTCTTAGAAGTTCAACTAAGAAAGATAAATTGGATAATTCGTACTGCTTTACTTCCATTTATTTTTGCAATTGGATAACCCAAGGGTAGGTAGCCCCTGACTATGTCAATGCTAATTTCAGTTTCAAGCTTCCTTCCAGTCAGCTGGCTCCAAAGCCGTTGCATATGCTGCAGAGGTACATGGACGGAGCTTTAAAAAGACAGTGCCTAAAAAAGAGGTATTGATAATGCTGCAGAATCGTTACCTCGCGAGAATTAAGAACAACATTCTGTAATGTTGTCTACTACATTTTGGTTTTATGCAAGACTGACCCAGTTTATCATAGTACTTTAACACTCAGTTGAATGCCGAAATCCTTTTTATGAGAACTGAATACTAACTTAATGGGAAATTTCCCCCCTTGAAAATAGTGTCTGAGGAGCTCCTGATAACTCACACTAGTGAACACGGTGCTGGTGTTCTGGAGGAGCCTTCCCCCAGCCCGTACTTTCTTACGTGTGGGGAAAACACGGACTTCTAATGCCAACCTTAACCTAGAGCACGTCGCCGCCTTCTGTGATCATTTCTTCATTAACAAATACTTGTGAGACTTCTGCAAGTCTCCTGTCACGCCAGGTGCTAGAGGTACAGCAGTCCCCAGGACAGACGGATGTGGCCCCTTTCAAGAGGCTCGTAGTCTATTCAAGAAAAGGCAATGACACGAGTGATCAGAAAGTGCGAAGGAGAAAGAGGGAAGATTCCAGGGCCCTGGCAGGCTCCGAGAGCACCGGCTTGGTTTTGACCGGGCCGTGAGCGGGGGACGCAGTGGTAGAAAGGTGGAGTCAGAGCCGCTGAGGTCAGGGCTATTTGGAGGATTAATGAGATAACACAGATATAAGCCATCTGGGGTTGATAATAAGCACTCAATAAATATTAGTACTCTCCGCATCGTTCCCTTCTCTTTGTAATTTCAGGATTCAATATTCTAACATAAAAAGACTATAAATCTAAAGCAGTGGCAACTTTTAAAAACTGAGTTCTTTTCCCATTTGCTCATTTCCAAATTAAACTTTCATTATCTTTACCCAGTGATCGTTGGGAACCGGCCTTTATCATGAACATTGGAAGAAGGGGATATGCTAGAAGGAATTGGGTTTGAACTTTCACGTTTTCTTCGAGTGGCCTACAGCATAGTTGCTGTAAGCTGGAAACCCCTTAAAGGAGCAACCAGAAAACTTAAGTTTGTAAGCAAATTATGGAACATCGAGATTAAGACAGTTAAGGGGAGGGAGCTTTTGCCTCTCAGGCCCCACCTCAGGGGGTGCGCCTGCATGTTGGTGAGCAGATCGAGCTGTGAGCACTGTGGAGCTTGGTGCTGGGGATCATCCAAGCCCATACATTCAGTTGTTCCATCCATTCAGATGCAGTAGGACCTCTGAGAAGTGATTCATATTAACTAAACAAATGAGATTTATCTACACACCAAGGTACCTGTTTATCATTTTACATGCAGCGAGACACCTAGGCCTTGGAAGCAGTTCCCAGGGAACTAACTGCACACAGTGTTGCCCGCTAATAAGTAGCTCTACTGAGAGAACCAAATGACCTACTGGCACTGTTCCCCTGTAGCAGGGAGCTGATATCGTGAGGGCTCATATTCAGCAGGACATACTAGTCGTTTGTAGTCGGCTCCCATTGCTCACCAGTCATTACCTATTTCTAAAGTCACCTCTGCTGTTTCCACCAGCTTCCTCATTAAGGAAACATTCTGTTCTCTACAACCTGTCCTGTTCTTTGGAATCACTTTGCTCTCTGCTTTAGCACCTAAAGATCAATGCAGATAATTAGGATTGGTAGGCTAAAATTTCTCTTCTTCTTATTTTTTAAATGCCATGATTTTTTTTTTTGTTTGTTTGCTTTCGTAAGTGTGATTTTAAGGGAACATTCCAGTTTTGTCAGCAGCACCAGATAAATAACAGGCATTTGATGTTAACTCATGTTAATTTATAGACATCTAACTTCCTGACATTTTCTGGCCTTACCTGTGAAATCGGGAATGTATCTGATTTGGAATCTTGAAAACACTTAATGCCCTTCGTTTAATAAAATGAATGAGAGACAGCAGCGGAGGCAGAGTGGACTCCCCTTATTCCTGCCTAAGCCTGGAGCATGGAGACCAGCCAGCAGGAAGATGGCTCGAGTTGCTAAAAGGAACTGAGATGCAGTGTTATTACAGGTGGCCTCGCATTACCCTTTGCCTGCTTTAAAGATTTCTTAATTTAGCAGTATAATACAGCTCATGTCAGATTTCTTTCCCTCCTCTTTCCCTGCCACAGACAAAGACTGCCGGGCAGAGGCACGAGGGGACCGTGGGCCTGCTCACATACCCGGTGCTGCAGGCAGCTGACATCCTGCTGTACAGGTAAGGAGCAGAGCGCACGCGGTCTCGCACGTCCTCTGCCGACATGGGGGCATTCCACCCCGGTCCAGTCACGGGGGTTCACGGGGAAGGTGGGCGCAGAGAGGATCAGACACATGAATCGGTTTGCATCTATTCTGCGGTAACAGCTACTAAATTATGGACGTATGCTGCAGTGTGAAACCAACAGTATGAAGGGCTAACCCTAAAATCGCACCTACATGCTAGAGACTGTTATAAATGCTTTAACTACATTAACCCATTTAGTGCTTACAACTCTTTATGAAAGTTGCGCTGTTATCACCCCCATTTTACAGATGAGGGAGCTAAGGCACAGAGTAGTTAGTAATTCGCTCACAGACCTGAGGCTTGGACCCAGGATTGGAGGCTAGAAAGTTTGGGTCCAGAGTTTGTGCTCTTAGCCACACTGCGGTGTGGACTTCCCCAGAAATAATTAAACTTCAGGCGTTTCAAGTGTTGATTTCTCATATACCCTGGATTCCAAAGCAATGCTCTTCAATAGAATTTGCCTGCAGTTATGAGAATGTATCTGTGCCTTCTACAACTGTAGCCGCTACCTCCATGTGGTGATTGAGCACTTGAAATCTTGACAGAGGAGCTGAATTTTAAATTTGCATGTAAATGTGATAACACGGAGATGACAGCCTGTGTGCCTTGCGGTGTGACCCCAGGGCCCTACTGCCCTTCAGATGGAAACAGCTCGGAGAGTGGCTGCTCAGCTTTCAGCTAAGGAGTGTTCAGTAATACATGCAGGCCATCGTTCATTCTGATTACATTAAAATGTATATGTAAGGATCGTGTGTCCATTTGTTGTATTAACTTGAATGCTGGGCTCCTGGTAGCATTTAATATTTATTATAAATGACTTTTGACTTATCCTGGGAAGTCTATAATACTTTTCCCCAGGAATAGTAAGTGAAAGTCTAATGAGCTGATCATATATTTCCTAGCAAAGTAGCGTATTTACTTAGAAAGATTCTGTAAAGAGCCTTGATTTCTAATCTGTAAAATAGAAATAATAATGACTCTGTGCAGGATTATTAAAGGATTAAAATGAAATATGGGCCAGGCAGTGCTGTGACTGGGAGCTGCCACTTGGTTATGATTGATAATGATTATGTTTTTGACGATGACAGTATTCTATCTCATTTCATTTTCAAGGGCTCCTTCTTTGTAGAACAATGGGCTGAGTTTTCTTAGCACCGTGATATGGAAGCACATCAATATGGTAGATTTCCTTAACAGTTCAAGAGCTGTATGGGAAAGTCCTTGGAGCTCCAGGCTCTGAAAAAGAATCAAGTTTAACAGGAAGGATTGCACTCTTTGTGGTAATATGGCACTCAGAGCCGGAAAGAACTTTAAAGGGCCTCTTCTTCCATCCCTACTTTACAAACTCAACCCGATGAGGTTAAACAGTTTCCCCAAAGCTGTGTGTTCAGTCAAGGAACATTGGCGCCTCCACAACAGTTCTGGTCTCCTGAGGCCCATGCTTACCTTCCTTACAGAGCCAGTAATTGTGTCAGGAGACAAGATCATCATGTGAACAACCAGGACAACCCAAGGTCACATATGCTAAAGTGACGATGAATTTGCTTTTATCAATTGCCCAAAATACAATTGGCGGAATGATAAAATACTATAGTTTCTTTCATCTACAAAGTGGGTTAAGGGGACATAACTCAGGGGGTTATTAAACAGATTTTGTATAAATTGAAATCACCTTGCATATAATCAATGTAAACATTTTAAGAGTACAAGAGCAACATTTGAAAAGGCTAAAATTGGTAAAAACAGTTCCTTAAGACCCCCAAATCTGTATATATTCTAAAGGTATGTCATATATTTTATATTTCTATATTATATATTATTTTAAATGTTATGTTTACATATTGATTAATATATTATCTTTATACAGCAATAGAGAAATTTTTATGCATTCTAAATATATAAATATATTTCCTATCCTAGGTCCTTTTTGAGCCATGCCTCAGGTTGTAGTGTCCTTTTTCCTTACACAAAACAGTAACTATTTCAAACGTGGCAGGTAGCCTCTGAGAGCTCTCTGACGGCTTCCTGCCTATCTCACTATGCCTGGTGTTGGCAGGTCCTCACACCACTGGTCAATGTGCTTCCAAGGAAAATTACTCTTTTCCAAGCTCAGTTATTCCCCAGTCCACTCCCAGTGGCAAAAATATTCTCATGCTGTAAATATTCCTTCTTTAACTCCTACTGATCTCTTTGCTGGTTAGAACATGTACTAAGAATGGCATAAGAACCCTTTCTTTCTTCTGTTTTCTGAAAGGGAGATTATGGTGGCAGATTCTTATTTATTTGCATCAGGATTCTGATATTTTACACACAATTTGTTAAAATGAATAGGTAAAAGTATTCTTCTATAGCCCGGCTGGTGGATTGAGTGCTGACCTGTGAACCAAAAAGTGGCTGGTTCGATTCCCAGTCAGGGCACATGCCTGGGTTGCAGGCCAGCTTCCCAGGAGGGGGCGTGTGAGAGGCAGCCACACATTAATGTTTCTCTCCCTCTCTTTCTCCTTCCTTTCCCCTCTCTCTAAAAATAAATAAATAAAATCATTAAAAGTATTTTTTCTATAAAGCTAGGTAACTCTCTATATTCAAGATGACTGTCTACTACTGTCGCCCTGGGGAACTACCTAGCTTAATGCCATAATGAGATCATACACAAGGAACAGACACCCGCGTGCTCCTTGTTTTAAGAGAAACAGCATCCCCACATTTCCCTCCCGTCTGGTCTCAGGCCGGACCTGCTGCTGCCGGCTGCACATGCTCGGCTTGTAGGCTGTTCCTTTGGGCTCTTTTTCCCGGCCGTCTTCCGTCAGACTGTTCCCATGGGAGCCATTGCCACCCCACACAAATCCCACATTTCCTGGGCATGTGTGTGTTTGGACCACTACAAAGCATGCAGACAAGTACTATAAAATCAGGTCTGGTTTACTACAGCATTTATTCTGCTAACATACATTTCTCATCTGTTTTATTATGCTTCCTCCCAAGTTTAGAAATTCCTAATTGCTTGATAATAAGTAGCAGAGGCAGGACTCAAACCCAGGTCTAAGTTTTAGCCTGAGCCATTGTTTTCTGTGTAACGGAGCTCAAGCACTTGGGGTATTTTTTTGTTTGTTTGTTTGTTTGATTTTGTTTAGTTTTGATTCAGATATTACTAGATTTTAAAAAAAGGTCATAGCCAGAATGTGAATATTTACATTGTAAATGTAGATAGATACAAAGAATGAAGAAAGGAGGGAAGGAAGGAAGGAGAGGGAAGGGAGGGAGTCAGGGAGGGAAAGAAAGAATTTGTATTTTCTCTCACCAGCAACTCTATAATATGTGTGGCCTCTTCATAAAATGTTCACGCAGGGCAAGTATATTCAGTGCTTGCTTTCGTCAAAGTCAGGATGAGAACGATCGGTGCGTGGTCTGGGAAGAGAATGGGAGGGGAGCCATTCAGATGGCTGCGTGGCAGACCTCTGCAGCGGCTCTGGCCGAGCTTGGTAAGGACCCAGAAACGCGCAGCCGAGACCATCTTCGGTTTGAAAGTATAGTAAAAGAGCGGATACTTGAAGAGAGGCAAAATGCTCCAAAATAACAAGGGCTCATAATTTTTATTTTGCCTCTGCATTTTTTTTTCAGTGTCTGATTTCAAATAACTGACTATATATTAAGTAAATATTTCTTTCACTTTCTCTCTCTTTGCACACATGGACACATACCCACACAGTTTTTATTAATATACAGCAAATGCTTGTTTGGCGCCCATAATGCCGCTAATCCGGGAAAAAGGCACCAGCTTGGACTTGAGGAGAGGGGAGGAGGGAAGAAGCGCATGGTGAGCGCTGTTACCCTGCCGCCCGCCCGCCCGTGCTGGCCGCTGCGCATGTATTCTCTGTTCAGACTCTCACCATAGCAACAGCTCTGCAACACAGCTTGGCGGTGTCCTTCCCAAGTTACAGAAAAAGAAATGAAGCTGTAGAGAGCTACTGCCAATCTCCTCAAACAGAGATGGGCATGATTGCCTGGCTACTCGCTTTCTCTCCCAAGAATCTGAGCAGGGAAATACGGGAAGAGGATAAGAAGATGGTGAAAGCAAAAGCTGAGGTGAGAAAGGAAAATAAGGAAACAGAGGCCTCAAGGAACTGTGAGTGAGCAAAACCGAAAACAAACAGAAACAGGCAGGGGTGTCCTACCGGTGGCCCAACACAAAATCGTACATTTACTTAAAGCATTATGAGATTTTTTTGTGTGTTTTTACATGTCGCAGTATATGTGATGTGTGGCCCAAGACAATGCTTCTTCTTCCAGTGTGGCCAAGAGTCACCAGAAGGTCGGACGCCCCTGGGAGTGAGAAGACTGGTTGGAGACGCCCTGCGTGGTCATTCCAGAGGGGGGCTGAGTCACGGTAAGGTCTGAGGCTCAGACCTGCCTTTGAGCACAATTGAGATAATCGGCTCCTCAAACTGCTTTGGAGACTGACTTCCAGTTCTTGAATGACATCCTTTGTGTGTGAGGCCAGTCAGTCCCAAATCTTCACGAGATCCTGAAAGCTGCTGGCCAGACCTCTTTTCGGCAGTCTCCTGACGTCCACATGCTCCCGCCACTGCAAAACAGCCATTTCTTCTCCGGCTCTTCCGCTTCCCAGCTCTTGGGCAGGCAGCAACCCGGAGCGAGAACTCCCTGGAAGGCCCCGCGTAAGGTAGCTTTCAGGGAGAGAAGGGCCCTGAGATGTCAGCAGACCATCCAGGATACTCTCCTACAAGCAGTGGGAAGCTCTGTGCATTTTAAGGACCGAGTGAAATAATTCAATGTATACTTTTAAAAGGGAACTGATTAAAATACAGAAACTAAATTAGGGGACAAAAGCAGCTGGGGCGGTCTGTGAAGAGGCTCTTTTCTAGTCTGTTTGGCTCCAGAGGGTGACGGTAAAAGTGAAGACAGTAGGCAAACAGGAG